GAAAGTAAGTGAGATGTAAGTATATTATATTTAGGTTTTGCCTATGTGAAAGTAAGTGAGATGTAAGTATATAAGTGTCTCTGCATATCTGTGTGAATTCAATAATGCAGATAATCAGAGAAAAGAGTGAGATAATTCAAGCATTCAATGACATAAATATAAATATATATATATATATATAGAGAGAGAGAGAGAGAGAGGAAAAGAGGGACCTTGTTGAACCATATATCTGTAGCGGCATCGACAGCTTCCTGGAGAGAGGCGAAAGGAGCAGCAGAGGCCATCTCTTTGGCGAATCTAGTGCTCCCACAGCATGCCAAGAAATCCTTCTCCCCAAACACCTCTACTGCTTCCATTCTTCAACTCTCTCTCTCTCTCTCTCTCTCTCTCTCTCACTCAGACGATGATGGGGGTGATCCAATTTGAGGATTTGCTGGAGAGAATGAATCACACAGCCTGTAACCTTCTCCTCAGTCCAAACCAAACTAGTCAAGTGCGGCACTCCTAAATTGTTGAAAACGGGGATGATCAGAACGTCGTCGTTTTAAAAGAAGAGTGAAACCGACAAAATTATGGGTTATAATTCGAGTGTGGAATAGTATTTTTAATTTTAAATTTTTGAATCATGATTTAAAATGATAAAATTTAAATTTATTTGGTTGTAAGTTTTAAAAATAATTTTGAAATAATATGTAATTTTTTTTTAGTGATATATAGAATGTGATAGAAGGACCAGAGAAAAAAAATAATTAATTGTTTGAATAATAATAATTTTAAAAAATAAAAATAATTTATATTTATATTTATATTTTTTTTTAAGAAAAAAGTGTACCTAACATCACAACCCTACATCTCGAATCCACAATCGCCTAATTAGAAGTCAATGCATTATCCGTACTGTTTTCGCTTTGCACTGTGTCTCCGCCTTTACTTTTTAGATTTTAATATTGGCTATTTGGCATCATTTGTCGGGCCGGGCTAGCATAACATGAAAAAGGATTTTGTGTCTGTCAAAACTCAGCTCGGCCTTAATGTCGGGTGTCTATATCTGTGTAAGCTTGACTCAAAAAATAATTATAAATTTAAAGTTTATCCATCAGGTTATATGTTAAAAAAAAAATTTAAAACACTGTATAATTAAATTCAATTACACATTACATTTTTTAAATAAATATACTAACAACATTATAAATTAAAGAATTTTTTAAATAAATTCAACCAAACAATTTCACAAATGTGAGTTTTAATAAAATCAATAAAGATAAAATTTTGATCGAAAAAAAAAATTATTATAAATAATTTATTTACTTAATAGCGACCGAGTCAGACTGAGCCCTCGTTTGGCAATGGGCTAAAATGAGTTTGGTGGCTTTTTTAGCTACAAAAAAAATAAAATAGGCTAAAAGTCAATAAGACAAAATTTCACATTCAAATAATAATGAATTTACTTTTTCTCTCACAAAAGTTAAAAAAAAAAAAAAAAAAAACTAACCCAAACGAACTTTTTAACCCTAGACTAAAGCCAAAAAGTTAAAAAATCAACTCATTTCCCAGATGAAACCCGAATTAGGTTCAAAGTAAATCCCAAACCTAACCTATTAATATAGCAGGATGAAGATGTTGGCCCAATCCAAATTTATGGGCTAAAACAATCTTTTCAAATTATAAAAAAATAGGGACCATTCTATTTGTAGCAAAAACATATTTCAGTACTCTTGACTCAAATTTTAAAATTTAAATTTATATTAGATCTTCATGTGAATTTAATAATAAGGACAACACATATCAAACTTTAAAATAAAATATTATTTTTTCTCTCATTGTACACTATAATCAATTATACATATTTTTCTTATTCAAATCTCTTCATCTTCTTTTCCAAATTTAAATTATTTTTGCTTCTTCTTCTTCTTCATTCCAAAACTCCAATCCACCTCACAAAAACTTACCATTATCATCAATATCATTAATTTTTTTTATTATATTGTTATTTGCAAATAAAAGAAAATTTGAACAGAATCAAATACTCCCTCCGTCCCAAAATAATAGTCCCTTTTGGGGAATCCAACTTTTTTTGGTAGTACAATTATTGTACTTTTAAAAAGTTGGTTTTTCCAAAATTACCCTTTGATAGTACACTTTTTTGAGAATATCAATGTCATAATTGTACTTTTTATATTATTTATGAATTTAAAAGAAGGGCAAAATGGGAAATTTATATTATTTTTGTACTTAATTTTTGAAGAGGGACTAATATTTTGGGACAATGAAAAATGGAATAAGGGACTAATATTATGGGACGGAGGGAGTAATAAATAAGAGTAATAGTCAAAATAGTTTTTTGAAGCAACCTATCATAAAGGAGGTAAGTATTTACATAATTATCAAAGTGCAATTATTGATTTATGAGTGTTTTTTTTTATTTATATAAAAGCAAATATTCAGTTTGTTTTCGTCATTATTGTTTAGGCTTTCAGAATCGAGAACAAATTCACTTTGTTCGGTTTTAGAAGTCCGAACGCAAACTTCACCCTCTCTTTATTTTTCGCCATCTTCACCAGTGCCGGATTCTTTAGTCGTATTTCTTATATATATGTGAACAAAATAAAGATTTTTAAAAAGTAATATAGCAATTTTGGTTTAGACTCGACTCATTTGAAGTTTTGGATTCGGGTTCTATTTTCTCATATAGTTGTTCATGTCGTGTTTTTCCTTATTTCTCTTTGAGTTTGGTTATTGGGATGCGTTGGTTGTGTTTGGAACAGGTTGGTAGTTTATTTTTCAAACTATTGCTAAATAGGATTTTGCTTCTTCGCTCGAGCGACTCTTCTTGTGCTCGAGCAGTCTTTGTGAACTTCTAATACTTTTGCAGATCTACAAAGATACTGAGAGTTGGCATTTTTCGCTCGAGCGGTATTTCTTGCGCTCGAGCGGTGTTCGCTCAAGCGAGCCTTCTTGTGCTCGAGCAGTGGTTCTCTGCCTATAAATCTTCTAGGAGTTGGTATTCTTCGCTCGAAGGAAACTTCTTGTGCTCGAATGAAGCTTCTTGTGCTCGAGCGATGCAACTTGTCGTGTTTGGTCGCTCGAGCAACACTTCTTGAGCTTGAGCGAACTGTGCGTATATCAATTTGTAAAGTCTCTTTTTCTAAGTCACTTTTTCATCTCACACACTCTCTAAACATTTTAAAAACCTTAGATCTACACCCCCTCTCTCTAAAACTCTATTTCTCTCTACAAATACACTTAGATCCGTCGAGTTCCTCACCTGTGCCCCTTTGTTAAAAAGGTAGAGGTCGATGTGGGCTTCGTTCTCATCAGAATAGAGTTGGGTTTTGGCTTTATCCGAGTTCCTTCCTTCTCTCGTATTCTAAATTTGAGGCAGAGATTCTTTGCACTTTCTATAAGTTTTAACTTAGTTATTTGCTATTATAAATATTATTGTGATTTTTTGGAAAGTTTTGAAACAAACCTAGGGTTTTGGGTTAAAGATCAAAAGAGGAGTTTTCAAATGGATTTGCGGAAATGATTGTGGTGTCGAAAATAAAGTTGAGTTGTGATAAAACGGTTGATTTTGATATTTGGGATTGATTTTGGAAAAAAAGAAAAAAAAAAATTTGCCCTAAATGTCTCAAATGTTGATTTTATATAAATAATGAATTCATGTTGTAACTATGGAATTGAGTTGGCATTGGTGAAAATGGTAGAGTTAGATATGTATTATTACTCATATCTTGAAATTTGGAAAGTTTATCTTTTATTGAAATTTGTTCATCTGTTTAGAAATATCTATTTTGGGCTATCGGTGGAGGATAATTATGATTGTTGCAGAACCTGTATGAGAATTAAGAGAATTGAAACTATTTTCTCATCTTTTTACATCGAGCATCGTTTCATATTTATACATTGGAAATGTTTATCATTTTGAGAAAATTAGTGAATATGGGAACAATGTATCGTCTCGTTAAAATAAATTAGTTTAAGTGTCTATGGTGAAAGTCCTAAAAACCATGTGTATGCATGTGTATCGATCCCGCGGACGAAATTTTCGTAAAATGACAATAGTAGTGCTTGTATGACCTACATTTACATAGGTGCTGGTTTGTGGTTTTCCATAGACGAAATTTTCGTGAAAGGTTATAATTGTTTTGAGATTACCAGAGTGTGATTCACTACCCTGTTTTCTATTGTAAAGGAAATGATTTATAAATTATGCTATTAACCTGACATTGCATGGTTTTGGAAAAGAGATATAAAATATTTTGGCACAAGTATTACATATGCATTCACCTTATATCTTTGTTAAGATTCATATACTGTGTTAGATTATTTCTACTGGGTTTTGACTCGTCTTATATGGGAAAAACATTTCAGGTGTTTATGATATGCCTCTACCAGGGCAATAGCTTGTGAGGACTTAGAGCAAGAACTTCATTTTGTTGATTGCTGTATATGTTTTGTACAGGCTAAGGGTCTTTAACTGTATTTGACTTAAATCCATTTTTATTGTAACTAAGTACCGTCTTGAAAAGTTGTAAACTTTTAGGATATTTTTTAGTTGTGTAACTTCCATCCTATTTCATTATGATATAACATATACTATAGATTCAGGGTTAGGTTGATGAATGTATATCAGCATATGTTACTCTTCTGTAAAACTTAATTGGAAACTAATGGAAGATAGTTACCTTGTCATTGTTGTCACATATTGATGTTGTGAATGTGTTATTGTATTTATTTCGGGGGTGTTACAAGTAATTTAAATTTTTTAATTTGTTTTATTTGGATGTACTTCAAAAAGGGTAATTTGAAAGGAAAAAAAAGGTATACTAAGAATAAATTATAATCTTAAATAATTTAATAAAGTGCACTAAAAATTAGATTTACTTAAATATTTTTTTTATGTAATCAAAATTCTCAAAAAATAAGACCGGGCGGGCCACTTGGAAGCCCAAACCTAGTTGAGAAGAAGCCAACCCATTGGATTATATGGGCTAGAATTTGGGTCCGGAAAACTATGCCCACAACATAACCATCTGTTCCACTCTCTCTTTCTGTCTCTCTGATTCCATTTCGGATCGGCCTCAAGCTTCCAGAGCTCTGAACTTGGAAAACAATCATGGAGCCAATCAATTCTAGCAAGGATAACGCGGATCAGGTATCTCCGCCAAATGAAATTACATGTTTTCAAGTGTGTGTACATATATATATATATATATATATATATACGCATGTACTGTTTGTTTATCACTAATCATCAGCGAGTTTTGCATAGGATGAGTAATATCGGTATTCCTCAAGTTATTGATGATTTTTAATTTGGAATGCCTGAGCTTTCAAGCACTTGGGTTCACTCTTATACTTCGTTTCATTGCCATGAATAGACTAGGAAAATATATGAAAATAAAGTTAGAATTTTAAGTGATGATTGTCCATGTATGTTCATTTTCAACTGTTTGGTTTGTTGTAAGTTTAGATTATTTGGATAGCGGGGTGAGAAAAGAAAAGAAGTGATTGCGATTTGTCATCTGGGTGAAAAAAGAAAAGGAATGATTGTCTTTTCTCTGGATGTTATGTTTGGACGAGTAAGAAAGGAAAACATGTGATATAGAATTTTTTTCTTCCTTCATATTTGAATGGGTATTTGTATTATGAAAACTATACAACTAATCAGGTGATTTCTCACCAAATCTCATCTGTAACACCCTCAAAATATGATATCAATAAACCATACATAGGATCTATAAACATAATAAAGTGGTATACTTCATTCATCAGAATTTATATTACAAAAGAGTATTACATGCAATATACATTCACAAATATCCATCCTAAACCTATAAAATGTAACATTAGGTAAATAACAGCAAAATAAATGCCTTACGGGCTTATATCTTTCCAAGGTATGACTTGGTTACAACAAAAGATGAGTCCTAACTCTATACATATAAAGCCCTCGGCTTGAATAAACATTTAACACAAAACGACATAACAAAACTGTCCTTGGACCTGTACATGAAAATGGTTTCCCAAGTACGGTGAGCCAAACCCCAATAGAGATATGTTAAAACAGTATATGAGATTTAACTAAGATATGAGTATCAGATAAAGGTGCAATATTCAAAACCAACGCATGTTCTTTCTAAGACCATATAGTATAGGGAACCATGCCTTAATCCGTTTCCATTCATCCAGTTCAGGTTAATTTACTAACCATATTCATTATCATCTAATCAACAAAATGAGATTTCAACTCAATGGTTCATAATTCAATACATACATCAATCCAACACTTCTATTTTCTTGCCATTTTACGGAATCACATCCGAGGGAACCGGCACCCACATATATATAAGATTTCGGGACTTTCACCCTGGACACTCTGGCCAACTTAATTTTCAATGGAGTTTATCTCCTATCTCTTCCCACACAATAGAGTACATCCCCTATCTCCTCTTAAACAATGATACATATACAATGTATTTAAGAACGTGTCATATACAATGACTACCAAATTCACATATTCAACAATTTAATCAAACCGTCATATTCAATGACATAATCCGGATGATTAGTTTCAATTTACCTAATCCTCATCCAGTTTCTACAACAATCATAACTATCCTCCGCCGATAGCTTAAAACAGATATCTCTAAACAGATATATAATCTATCAAACAGATAATTTATCATATTTTCCATAGGTGGGTGATTTATCAAATCCAACTACACATTACGTTTATACATCCTTCCAATTTCATATTTCACATATCAGTTTCATTATTTTATACAAATAATTTATTTAACTCATATTAGGGCAAATCTCCCATCTTCCAAATATTAACCCCAAGACCCAATCTCACTGATTATACTCAAGTAACATCATGTTCAAGACCTCACATACACATATGGAGCCAACTATAGAAAACCCCTCTTTTAAAATTCAAACCCAAACCCTAATTTCACCCAAATCTTACCATTTATACAAAATGACAAATACCTAGGTTAAAACCCATATCAAAGAGTAGAATATACCTACCTCAAATGTAGAAGCTCAAAGGAAGAATGGAAGAAGCCTCAAAGATGTCCAAACTCGATTTTGCTCGGATAAAATGGAAGCCTACAAGATGCTCTATCTTTTTAACAAAGGGACTAAGGTTGAGAGACCCCTAAATCAAGGTGTTTTTATAGAGAGAGAAGGAGCTGGGCTAGGGTTTTGAGTGAAAAGAGATGCAAAAAGTGATGTAAAACTCCTCTGCTGCGAACTGATATAGGTGGTCTTCGCTCGAGCGACCAGACACAACAAGTGACCTCGCTCGAGCGCAGAATGCAAAGCTTTAAGTTTGCCACAGACGCACACGCTCGCTCGAGCGCAAGAAGCCTCGCTTGAGCGAAGGAACAAATAATACAAAGCTTGCTCGAGCGCAAGAAACCTCGCTCGAGCGAAGAACTTCACCTTCCCCAGAAAAGATGCATCTGGAAGGAAACCTGAGAACTCCTAATTCTCGCTCGAGCGCAAAAAGCTCGCTCGAGCGCAAGAAGCCTCGCTCGAGCGAAGAGGCCAAAATTTGGGCAACAACAATCTAACTCAACTAACAACCAACCTGTTCCAAACGCGCCCAACAAGTTCCAAAACTCAAATACAAGGATTCAAAGGGGAAAAACAAGACATGGATACAATATTTGACCACGGACCCCAAGTCCGGGACACAATGAAGGTCAGGACACAACCGGGATCGCTGTACATCACTTGTGATTTCTCAACATTTTTTGCCAAACTTACAAACCAAACATGAGAAAAGAGTACCCTTTCCCTTCATTTCTTATCATTTCTCACAAAATCACTCGATCCAAATGGAGAGATAGTTTTCATGCTTTTTACTATTTGGCTACTGAGAATTCAAATGCTTTCACTCAACAAGGTTGATACTGCTATGTGGCTTTAATGAGGTGTGGTTTTTGTATTCTCTAGAAACCAACACACTAAAAATGACAATAAAATGTCTAATTTCTTTAAATTTTCTCAGCATTCAAAATTTGATGCATTTTTCAATGATTACTAAGTCAGAAATGTTACTTGGAGAATAAAAAATGTAGAATTGGATATTTTGGCCTTTTGATCAAAATCTAGATATTTTATTTTCTGTTTGAATTCAATAATCCGATAATTCAATCTGGATTTTGATGTACTTCATATGCTAATCTGCCAAATCAAATTGATTTTTCAGAACTTTAAAAAAATAAATGCTTCATATCTTTTTGTATCCGTATCCTGTTTCTCTATCCATGCTTCATAGCTTTTATCATTTCCCTTACGTTTCCAAAACGTTTCTATTCCCAAGTTAACCGAGACAACATACCGAAATAAAATTTTGATTCTTGTCCATTATTTGACTAAATAATCTTGCACATTTTAATCTTTCTGCGTTTGGCAGGTTTTGGTGGAAGAAAACTCTCATGGGATAAAAGTTTTGTTAAACAGGCCTAACCAATTGAATGCACTTTCATTTCAAATGGTATGATAATGATTATTAGATTAGTACCTTTTGTTATTCCGTTGTCATATGGTTGAACTATCTAATGCATTTGTGTTTGGCAGCTACTGCCTTCAATGACTGTTGGTACTACTTCATTTTATTTTTCTTTTGGCACTTCTTGATTCTATACATCATAATTTGTTATTTTTAAATCTTTTAAATAATTAATTTACTCTGGTTATCATAAGTATACTTTCATCTCAACTTTCTTGAATACCTTTTAATCCTTTCATGACACTAATTTTTGCCATATTTCTATTCATCTACTTTAAAATTCCTTGTGTCTTTTTAGCATAATCTTTTAATTTAAGAATGCAGGAGGTAGAGAGAATTTGTTTTGATGTAGGAAGGATTAAGAAACTAGGCCATAAGGTAGTCTACAAGGGAATTGTGGTGGATGTTGGTTTTGGAAGCTTCCAAGGTTAGGGTTGTAAGAAGTGAAGGAAGGCTTGTAGGATTTCTAGATGGAAAATGTAAGATTTAGTTTGATTTTCAAAGTTGGTAGCATATTGGATTTTTAGAACAAAGGCTATTTGAAGCTCAAAACAATAAGTAATTTAGGGATTTAATTATAAATTTGAGGTTAATAGGTGGGGTATGGGGTTAGGGTTGATTTGGGCATGATTGGGTGAGGTTTTGGAGATAAAAACGTGATTTCTCTAGGGCTGTGCTTTGTGACCTAAGAATAAGAAGGATTAAGAAACTAGGCCATAAGGTAGTCTACAAGGGAATTGTGGTGGATGTTGGTTTTGGAAGCTTCCAAGGTTAGGGTTGTAAGAAGTGAAGGAAGGCTTGTAGGATTTCTAGATGGAAAATGTAAGATTTAGTTTGATTTTCAAAAGTGGTAGCATATTGGATTTTTAGAACAAAGGCTATTTGAAGCTCAAAGCAATAAGTAATTTAGGGATTTAATTATAAATTTGAGGTTAATAGGTGGGGTATGGGGTTAGGGTTGATTTGGGCGTGATTGGGTGAGGTTTTGGAGATAAAAACATGATTTCTCTAGGGCTGTGCTTTGTAACCCGAGAATAATAACTTTGTCGAACAAAAGAGGAAGAACACTCTAGGAATCCCACCTAGACTTTCATAGGAGTTAACCCCTAAGGTAAGTGATGTGGAACGCGACATGGAAATTTTATTTATTTTTTAATTTTATATTTATATTTATTTATTGATAATTTAATTAGGATTTTAGTATATTTAGTTACTTATTTATTTTTTAATTTTATATTTATGTTTATTTATTGATAATTTAATTAGGATCTTAGTATATTTAGTTATTTATTTTATTAGAGATTAAGTTTCCAAATAATATTATGATTTAGTTTCTTATTTTATATTAGGATTTCTTCCCTATAGATATTGGGTTTTATTGTTTAATAGTTAGCTTTGAATTATTGATACTGAATAGAAGGTTGTGGCCATTTTGTGAGATTAGGGTTTTGACCCTTGTGTTCTTCTCTTTTCTTCTTAAGTCTTTTTATTTATTCTTTGGATCAATTCTCCACATAACTGCTGGTTTTGAGTTCATTCAAATAGTTGAATGGATTTCTTATTAACCGTTTGACGTCGGTAAGATTTCACATAGCATCACATAAAGCTTCAAAAGCTTTGCTCAATTCTCTAAACATCCATTCTATTGAATAGAATATTATGTGCATATTAATTGGCTACTAGTTCTCCTAATTCTACTAGGATTATGATTCCAAAATCAAGAAATTATAAGGTAGCGTTTGGTAGAGTTTTCTAAATATGATTTAAGAATAGAGTTATATTTTGAGTTTGTGAGTTTTGGAATTATGATTTGAGTGTGGAAAATTTGTTTGGTTATGAGTTTTGAAAAGAGTTTTGAATTGAGTTTTGGAGGGAATTTTGAGTTTTTAAAATTAGAAAAGTTATTTGATTAAAAAATTTACAATTCATTACCAAACACACAACTCAAAATTCTATTCAAAACTCATATAAAAATTAAAAAAATTCTGAAAATATCTTTATTTACAATATAAAAATAACAGGTGCCTAAGAAAAAAAAAAAAAAAAAAAACGAACACTGTTCCGGTCAACAGGCCAGACATCTGGGGGATGTCCAGGAGGACGACTGGATTAGCCAAATTTTCTTGCTTGGAAAGGAGTTTTCAAAAGTAGGTGTAGAATTATAATTTGAAAGCTCAAAACAAACACCACACTCAAATGAGTGGGTGGAAATGTGTTTGGAACACATAACCAAACACAGTCTAAAATTTTGACAAAATAGAATATTTAGATAAAATAAAGGAGATGTTTGGTTCTCAGAACATGTTTTTTGAGAAAAAATTCCAAAAACATGTTTGGTTGAAATTTAAAAAAAAAAAAATTACAAAATCACTTTTCTCTCTACTACACACCACTCAATCACTTTTTCTCTCTCTCCTCTCATTCTCAACTACTTTTTCTCTCACACCCATCTATTCAACTACAAAAAATTATCAAATCATCCCAAGCTCCAAAACTATTTTCAAAATATACAACTAAACAAATTTTTAAATTTTCTAAACTCTCTTTAGAAAATTATTTTTGAAATAATATCTCAAAAGACAAACCAAGCAAAGCCAAAGACTTCATATATGACCCAATAACATTTTTTATTTTTTTTTTTTAATATATTTTATAACTTGGTATACGGCCCAACGGACTGACTAATCCGGGGGACCAATAACATAATTGACCCACAAAATAATCCATGGCTGACCCCTTCAGGCCATGTCTAACAATTTACAAAATTATTGTAATTCCCTGGACTCTCAAAACCTAATAAAAAGCCATAAAATCTGTCCAACAACATTCTAACCTTTCAAAATACATAAAAATAAGACTTGAATTGATCCTAAACATAAATATACAAAGTCCTAGGCATGCTGCATATAACATTGCATATTCATCCCTCTTTTTCTCCTCATGCTTTCTCAAGTTTTGTAGTGTTGACGTATGAAAGCCACGATCCTTGGGCTCACATCATAGACAAAAAGCCAAAAAGACTAAATTCCATAGTTGAGTTGGTGCATATGTTCCCTCTGGAGGCAATAAGGATGATATAGTTCTTGAGCTTATGGTTGTTGTTCCGGTGGATGTATACATAATTAAAGCTTACTGTTAAGACACTTATGTGAACATTGAAGAGTAGGACATGCTAATTTTTATGTGGATTGTTGTTCTAGTCTAACAATCACGGTGGGTGAGAAATTGGGAGGCATATTTCAGTATCCTCTTTGTGGTACAACTACCTCACACCATTGTTTACGTTTTTTAGAGTTGGTGAAATTCATACTTGTCCATATATTTGCTGAAAACAGATGGTCTAGTATTTTTTCAATGATTTTCTTTTGCCTTCATTGTGATGGTTCTTTGTAAATATATGTAACCATTTACTTGCTTGCATTCTTGTGCCTTCCATAGTCCATTGAAACCATAGGCTTTTTGTGCCTTTTGCCTTTTATTCTGTCATGATATCATGGAATTATGCACTCTGTATTGAAAAATGTTGTGTTCAACTTAATTTTTATATATTTGGAATAAAATATCAATCTTGCTAGGACATGAGCTTAGTGGGATGAGTTTTATATTTCTCTTCATTTGTTCTAGATATCTCGGATATTGGAACTCTTCCTTGCCTGTGAGGAGGATTGTAATGTCAAGCTAATAATTTTGAAGGTATGCGCAACTCAAAACATTCAAGTTTATGTTCAAATTGCTCAAAGAGTCTATGAATAGATGAAGTAGTCATCCTTAGTGTCTAATCATATGGAAGTTTGGTAACATTTTGTATGTTGCAAGTGATGGGACTTATAGTATCCAGCAAATAATTTTGTATTTTTTAGGGTTAATGGGAGGGTGGTATTAGACTATTCGGATATAGAGAATTGAGGTGGAAAACCAACTATGCTATAACATTTCAAGGTAGATGCATAAACTTATATAATCTTCAAGCCAACGTCGTGACCCTACATCGGCCATGGCTTCCTATAGTTTTCTACCCGTAATGAGGTGCTTATGTTACTTCATGCTGCTAAATAGATATGTTGCGTAATTTCTATAGTGCAAGCATGAGTGGTTGGATTTCTAAGGCATATGAGATAACATTGCCAGCATAATTGATTTTTACAAGAACCTAAGAGATAGGGCACTTGGTCTGGTGTTTAATGTACGTTATTGTTGGCAATATATATATTTTTTTATTAGCAACAACAGAAGAATTTTATTAAAATGGCAATATTATATTTCAGAGTCACTAATTTTAAGTAAATGTTTTGTTATTCAGTTTTCTCGTAGTCGGGCATATTGTTAACTCATAGGGATGCCATTCATGGTTCCCATGTCACTTTTGGTTATGGTTGTAGGGGAAAGGGAGAGCGTTTTCTTCTGGTGGCGATGTTTCTGCTGTAGTCCGTGATATTACTAAAGGTAGAGGTTTCATTTTTATTTTTTGCACTCAATGGACAGTAGATAAGTTCTAAAATAGAGAGCCACTATGACCATCATGGACAGGTGCATGGTCTATTAAGTTTTACCTTCTTTTTTTTCTTTTTTTTGGTTCCTTCTCTGATTACATATTTTGTACCACTTCATTTTTCTTTTTCAGCTTTAAGAAACCTGTCAGCTAGATCCCTTTGGGAGGATGCTGGCAAGCATGGAGTAACTTCATTTTAAAGGGGATATAATAGCATTGCTGATGCTACTTTATTGGTTGTTTCTGTGCACCAGGTAATTGGAAATTTGGTGCAAAATATTTCCAGAAAGAGTACATTCTGAACTATGTGATTGCTACATACAGTAAACCTCAGGTGGTTCATTTGGGAATTTTTGTGTAACTTTGATTATCATTTGTTTGTGGCATTTTCACTGAAAGCTTTCTTTGTCAAGTTAGTTTCGGCATTTTCATTCCAAGATGTTCACGCAATCTTATTATTGGCTCAACATAATTGAAGGTTTCAATTCTTAATGGAATTGTCATGGGAGGTGGGGCAGGAGCTTCAATACATGGTAGATTTCGAGTTGCAACAGAGAATTCGGTATTCATCTTTCTTATTGTCTCTCATTTGTGAGGTATTACAGCATTTCACTTGCACCATCATAGTTCAAATTTCAATTTCCCTGACTCTGAGATCATTGCAAGCCATTTGGTTTCTGATTTTTTTAGAAAGCATGCAGTCATCCAATGACGTATCTTTTTTTTTTTTCTCTCTCTTTTTATGTTAATGTTCCATAAAGAAGTTCATATGTGCTTTTGAATTATTTCACCATAACCATCTAGTAATTTCTGTGCACAAGTGCAAGGAAAATGAAGCCAGTATATATGCTTTTCTCTGTTCTGTTGGGGCCTAAAAGCATGGGCTTTACTATAATTGTCAAGAAGTACACAGAATAAATCACAATATATCAGTAACTATGTTTTTTAGTATTTGTGCGAAAATTATTCAGATTATAGCACATGGTACTCAAAGAAAAGCATGTATTTAAATGAGCATTTCAAACTAGAATTTTCCTAAGAGAGGCAAAACAGTTGTTGATTCAACTTAAAAAATTGTGTGCCAGAGATGAGTTTAGTTGATGAAGCTAGACTGGGTTTAGAATCTTAAGTTAGAATTCTGGGGAGATTTTGGATATGAACAGATAAATAAGACTAAGATAGTAATCACAGTACATATGAAATAAAACTTCAGAAAGCCATGGAATAGAAATATTTGGGGAATATAATGACCATAGATATCCAAAAGTAAATATTTGATCATCTTCTACTGATCACCAATAGGGAAGGGGAATTGATAATATAACTTTGACCAAACGATTAAAGTATAGGAATAAATTTTTGTTGTTTCAAGCTGTCAACTTAGTGAAGAATTTTAATCAGTTTGCTTCAAGGATGGTGATGCTTTGTGGTACTGCATACAGTCAAGAAATGTGCTCGGCTTCCATACTGTATTTTCTTCTATGTTTTTCTCTTGCACTTGATTTTTTTTCTTGAGATTTCTCAATTTGGGAAAAAGGAAAGTTAAAAAAAAAAAAAAAAAAACCCTGAAGGACTGGGAATGAGGATGCGAGTAAATGATGCATTCGGAAAAAAAGAAAGAAAGAAAGAAAGAAAAGATCCTAATGCATTCAGTGAAGTCAAAAGTAACACCAATAAGGATAAGGGGTGGGAAATTCCTTTGGAGTGGACTGATTATGCTACGGAGATAATTGAAAAGGAAGAGGGATTTGATCCAAGAGTTGATGATGCTACAATAACAAGAGGGAGGCAAATGAGAGCATGGGTTGGTATAATTTACCCTATACCGCCGGGGAGGTTAGTGTAATTTACCCTAAAGAAAAAGATGGTCACTAATGATTGAGAAGGGATATGACTTTTTATCATCTGAATGAATAGGTAAGGGGTTGTGTACATGATACCAAGCAGTTGGGATATAAGAATATAGCGCAATTATTCGTAACAAGTATTTGCATCTAGAATCGTCCTTCAAGTGTCTTCGACAATTGTTGTTTCCAAGGACTGGGAATTGGAGTTTATTGTGGCTGTCTTCAGGATGTTTTAGGACAAGAGGGTTCATGTGGGGATGGGGGATACTCTAGTTTGGAACGGTTTAAAAAATGGTATGTTTTGGTGCTATTCTTCTATCAGAAGGTGGTTGGGGTGGTGGACAAAGCCTTCTCTTGGTGAGGGATTTGGCATTCCAACGTTTCTTTACCTGGACGGTGATTTGCGAAGCTAGTACAATGGCAAACAATTTTAAGAGAGGTCAATCCCTGCAAGATTGGTTTTACAAGGGGGAAAGTATGAACTATACAATATTGAATTGCTTGGTTGCTAGGGAGGTTGGATGTCACACCCCAAATTCACAAGATCCAAACCCATGAATAAGAAATAGAATAACCCGAATAATCAAGGAAATAATTGAGTCATAGGGAAATTTATGGAACTAACAAGATGAAGAGAGAATTAGGATATTAGGATAAGATAGAAACCCATTAGCTGCACTCCGTTCCATTACCTACATATTATGATCCAACAACTAACATGCATCCTAAACTACACTCACCTCCCCTGATTTTTGGAGAAAATACAGCCAACCCCACATTTTTGACATAATTACATTGGCCTCCCTTAAGGTTTTAATTCACATAACCCTTGGGTCCTTTTTCATCAGTAATTTGTTAGTCATATGAAAGAAAAAATGATATATATATATATTTTTTGGATAAATAAACAGACTTTATTAGAAAAGCATAAAGACGATGTAAAGAATACAAAAATTCAGCCCCCAAAGGGATAACAAAGCTAAGATATGAAATCCTTCACAAAATCTATAATAGCCAGAACATCTGGGTCAACCAAACCTGTAACCCAACTATATAACACCATGAGCAACCGCCTCTCTAGCCAAGGGATCGAATGAGACGCCCCTTGGAAGACGTGCCTATTGCACTCCAACCAAATAAGTCACATTAAGCAGTGAGATGCAATCGTCCATGCCTTCTGGCGCCACCTTCCAACCCTACCCCCAGCTCAACTTTACAAGACTGCCAATACAGAACCCGAGTATACCCAAACCAGACCAAAGGTTGCAATAATAAGCATCGAAAGCCGAGAAGTAACCGAGCAATGAACAAGCAAATGATCCATTGACTCCGCATCATCACAACACAAACAACACTAATTCACCAAGATATGCCCATGCAGAATTGAATTATCAATCTTCAAAATACGCCCTAAAGTTGCTGTCCAAACGAAAAAGGCTACCTTGGATGGCGTACCCTTCACCCAAACACACTTCTAAGGGAACAAACTCACATCATCATGAACAAATGCGCCATAAAACGAAGACACATAAAAGATTCCCTTAGAGCCCGAGCAATCCCAAACCATAGAATCCTCCCCTACCTCCCCCACGTGCAACCCATATAAGAAACCCAAAAACTCTGCTAACTGGTCCACCTTCCAATCTTGAACATCTCAACATAGCCGCACATTCCAAACAACTGCTTGTCCCTGCCCAATCCGAATATGAATTAATTTTAGTCTCTTCAGTCTTATTAAATGGGAAGTTGGTGTAATTATATCAAAAGTGTGAGACTAATTGTATTTTTTCCAAACTTTAGGGGAGATGAGTGTAATTTACCTTATAATCTATTACGTCATATCAAATGGTGTGATAAGTAACATAATGTCAAAAAGGCATTTTACTCGTTTTATAGCAATTATACAACAATATATACCTATAATGATAGTGTTAAATACAAATATATAAGAAGTATCCAATGGAAAGCATTAGAGACATATCCCATACCTGAAGTGTTGAGTGTATGACACGGGTATTTGATATATTTTGAAGAGTTCATGTAACATAGAATGAAGACTGGAAAATGTTTAATGCATAGACCTATGAAGATTGGAAAAACACAATCTTATTTGGGATGAGAATGGTCAATTTTGAGGATCTTATTTGATGTGGCTTTCCAATGAGGGTTTTGGATAGGTGACTGATGGGCACCAAATCCATTTGATCTACAAAAAGTGCTCCCTAGGAAATGAGTTTTCTTTTTCAAATTGTTCGTTTTTGGGAAAAATAAAAGGCTAATGTAGCAAAGGCCTTCTCTTTCTGTCCAGTCAGCCTGATGTGAGTTCATTCATAGAGAGATCCATAGGAAAATTAAAAAGAAGGTAAAAAATATAGAAGACCTCAATTGATGAAATACTTAGGCACATGGGTCTTTTCTCAAAAACAAAAAAAGTAGAGTAATGTCTTTTTTTTTTTTGGATTGGCACTGCGGTGTTTGGATCAAAGCCTGACTAATCCCCAGGAGTGCACAGGCCCTTAGCAATGAGTTTTCCGCGAGTGCACTACGGTTAATTCAAGGTTTTCCCCCAGTCCGATATCCCCAAAGAATTGTTAGCACCTAAGAGGTTTTGATCCTTGAACCTTGGAGGGTGCATACCCCCAAGACCCAAGGCCTTGCCACTAGGCCAACCTATTGGGGTTAAAAAACAGTAGAGTAATATCACTTTTTACTGTTCCAAGTTACAAATCAAGGTTGTAAGATTATAATTTATACCAATTGCAGTAACAGGCACAAATCTTTATTAGTGAGAGCAAGTTTTACTTATCCAAGCAAAAGTGAAAAAAAGAAAGAGAAACTCACAAATGCATTTAGCCTGTACAAGGACCATTACTGGTCAACTGGTGAAGGCTGACCATTGTAAGTTCAGAAAGCTGAATAATTAAATGGTGTTGAATTTTGATGTATTGTTTCACTGATATCAAATCCTATAAATGAAATGTTTTTTGATCATAGAGTGCTGCCATAGAGAACATGTGAGAGAGATTAATTTTTTTGACACTTAAGAATGGTATTTGTTATTCCTCCCCTCTTGCTGCCATAGAGAACATCCGAGAGAGATTAATTTTTTTTTGACTCTTAAAGAACGGTATTTGTTATTCCTCCACTCTTTGTTTTTCTCTTTTTTGTTTTACTTTCTTTTGTATTATTTTTTTTCTTCTTCTTTGGTATGTGAATGTTTAAGAAGGCTTAAAGGCTGAGAATTTGTAATTTTCTTTCTGACACTAACACTGAAGTTATCCATCTGATTGTCAAGTTCACGCAATGTCGTCCTTCCTTCCTAATGTGATTTGTATTCGAAAATATTTTATCTTGCTTTAGACGTGAGTTTTGCACAGTGGGAGTTATATTATGAGAATTTCTGAAACATGACCCATTGTGTACTGTGCTTGCTGCTTGGTAATAGCAAATTCTATATCGTGCAATCGGTTTTTCCTGTCCGTTCTTGATTTCAGGAGTTCGTTTCAGTTCTTTATGTGGTCAGCATATACTTATATTTTTTTTTTTCCCCCCCCCCCCCCACCCCCCCAGGTGTTTGCGATGCCAGAAACAGCTTTGGGACTCTTCCCCGATGTAGGCGCCTCTTATTTTTTATCAAGACTCCCTGGATTCTTTGGTAATGCCTGCTACTTTCTTGATTTATCTAGGTAGGAATGTCCTCGTATAACGTTGTAAAATACTTCATCAAGTTGTGTTTTTCCATAATTCAGTGGGTGCAACACACAAATCTCTTCTACACATTCTCTTTCTTTACTATTGTAGCAAGATAGAGATCACGAATGGGCACAGCTTTATTGTAATTCGTTCGGAGTATTACATTAAAGTTCAGTTCATGATAAGATAAATGATGAAACTATGAGTTTGAAGTTTAGATAATCTTAGTTCATGTTTCTAGTTTTAGGGTTGCCATTTGGGATTATTTTGAATTCAATTCTTCTTCTAACTTTAAATACCATTGGTTGTGTTACGGGTCAACTTCTTCTAACTTTGTTTATTTTGGTCCATTGATTTATAAAAATACAGTTTTGGTTGGTAAGTTTACAGTCATTCAGAAACTTTGAATACATCTATGTTTTTTTTGGGGAAAAATTGTCTAAAGGTCCCCGTAGTTTTTCTCTAGTTTCATTTTGGTCCTTGACACTTTAATTTCAACACGTTTGCCTTTTAATTTTTGTTTTTGTGTCAAATAAACAGGAGTTAAGTTTTTGGATGGAAATTTGTCACATGCATTGCACATGGCTATCTTTTTGGGGGCACAATGGTCTTTTTGCCTTCCCTGTGTACTTCATCTTCTTTCTTTCTTTCTTTCTCCCACTACCATCACCCCTCACAGCCACCAAAACCACCTCTTCTGCCATCTCTACTACCTCCAAACATCACCACCTTATGCATAGCCACCAAAACACCTCTGCCACACCACCACCACCTCATCAAGCTAGCCTCAAACCAATACCAAATCCACCTCAAACCAGTGCCAAATCAAGCCGCTCTACCCATCCCAAAACCCACCTCCCACTTGATCATAACCACCAATCCTTCCCCACCCCGCCACCCTTACCATCACGAAATCTGCCTTCAAATCCTCCATTGCAATCCACATATTCAATGAATCAGACCATTGAATCCATTGCAACACAAACAAAGGACCAAAATATGGTCCATGTCCAATGAATGTGGAAATTACCGTGATATGTCTAACTTGTAAAACCTGCCAAAATTTTTAAAATAAAATTATACCAACAGCCACCTACCTATAGAACATAAACAATACTCCAATTAGTCACAAACATGATTATGCAATGTCAAGGCATGCCCATGTGAAGTTCCAATTTTTCCATCTTTTTCTTTGCATATTTTACATCATAAAACAAAGCCTTACCAAAGCAGCTCTAAGAACTATATATGGGCTTCTAGCTTCTGCAAGGACTCATCAATGGTACCTGATGCTTGAACTTCAAGAAGTATAGAATTTTGAAAATTCTAGCTTCTGCAAGGACTCATCAATGGTACCTAATGCTCGAACTTCAAGAAGTATAGAATTTTGAAAATTCTGATGGTGAAATAAATCTTACAAGGCCACACATAAATGCTCGATATACAGAACTGCTGTGATACCCCTACAGTCCATGTGTTGAAACTTCAAAAATTTCCTTTGACTCTTTTACTTATAGAAAACTTAGAATATCAAAACAACAGCATAATTATGTAAGAGAAACAAAAAATAGGAGAAAAAAAAGGTTCAAATTATCTATGCAAGGTTTTGAGCAGGCTTGGTTTCAATTTCGAACATTTCTCTTCTTTATATATACTCTTTCTTAAGCCTATTATAGACTGCATCACTTTTAATACCTGCAGATTTTAGGTGTCATTTGTGCTGTAACCACTTACTTTTCATAACATCTGTTGCAGGAGAATATGTCGGTCTCACAGGTTCTAGGTTGGATGGTGCTGAAATGCTTGCATGTGGTCTTGCAACTCATTTTGTTCCTTCAGTGGTATACTTCCTCTGCAATTTCTAACTAGTAACATATAGTTAATGTATTACAAATTGTAGTGCATCTATTGATGTTTTGATGTTCAAACCAAAGTATGAAAGAAATACAGCTGGCTTGGTTAGGAAAGTAAACTAGTTGTAAGTTGTATGTGAAAAATGATCCTTCATGGTCTTGTTGACATGAAGAAACGTAGATGCACATCATAATGTTTTATGCTGCTGCTAGGGCTGTATAAATTCTGCACGACTGTGATGCAGCATGTCCAATGCTGTTGTTCTTTGAGGATATTTTGCTAAGTTATTAAGATTAACTTAAGCACTTTCTTTTAGGTTGTGTTTGGATCGTGGATTTAGAAAGGGAAAGGAAAAGGAAAATGTGAGGGAAATGTACAAAAAATGTAAGCTAAATTGTTTATCTATTTGTCCCACCTTTTTCTTTCCTTTTAAAAATTCTGCCCAAATCTATGATCCAAACACAGCATTAATGTTCTGACCTGATTTCAAATGTTGTTTCAATCATAAAAGCTTTAATCCTTGTGCTTTTGTGCTAATCTTTCTAGGGCCTAAGGCTGTGCAAAACACTGCCTAATCTGCTAAAACCGCACCGATCCCTACTGTTCTATCCGTTAGTCGCAAATTAACTTTAAAATTATAGTTTGCTTTCGAAACTGCTTTGCTCCGCTATAGTTAATGCATATATATTTTTTAAACTCTAATGAAATATCACAGTAAAAATAAATGTGAGAGAGATTTAAAATGTGAAATTCGTTACAAATTAATAGTTATATATATGAAAATATTATGTAAAATTAGCTTGTGTTATATATATGAAAACCATTATGCAAATTAGTATTATTTATTATGCAAATGCTTGATAATTAGTTAAGAATATTATTCAATCCGCCAATTCACCCCAAACTGTGATTTGGTTATCCGCTAATATAATTTTACTCTCAAACTATCCGAAACCGCATCACACACACCCCTTCTAGGGACAATGGTAGATTTGGCCAAAGGTCCTTTTACCATTTAATTTTCTCGTGAGAAGGACATTCAAATTTTATTCACTCAAGCAAGACACATATAGAGTTTATAATTTATGGACGAAAATATCTTTTTTACGTTTTAAACTTTAAAATTTCATAACTTTTGATTTATATTTCGATTTTCAATAAAATTTATGGAATCCTCATAACCTCTTTTAAACAAGACCATATAGGCTATGAAATTCTATATATAAAAAAAAGTAAAATTTAATTATCCAAACTAACGTTAATAGTTAAATTTTACTATCTAATTTTCTCATTTAAACAGTGAAATTCCATCACCGTCACAAAACACCAAAGTCACCATCACTAAAAATGTGAAGAGGGAAATTTTATTGAAGTAGTGAAATGATAAGATTCACACAAAACGTATCATCTCTGTGCATTGCCTTAGCACTATAGTTTGCTTCTTAAGTAGTGTTCAGTTTACTAGAATGAATTACAGTATAATGGACTTGTCATTCTTTATTCTCTATAGAATGACGACTATTCCTTTATAATGGTGAATGATGATTTCATTTGTAATACATTATTTTATTTTATTTTATTAGTAAATCAAATGTAAAAATAGATATTATGATAGAATCATCATTCTATTTCATTTCATTTGAGCAAATCAAAAAGAATACTGGAGTTTCTTTTGGGTGTGTGTATAATGTGCATATAAACAGAGATGGATACATAATCGCCAAAGAGACTAATAGATATGTATGGGTGTTTCTGTATCAAAACTAAAGAGAATAAGTTGGTGTCAGCCATCAATCTCACAAAACATCATCTACTTCATTAAATACCAACACATTCTATTTCATTTCATTTGAGCAAATCAAAAAGAATACTGGAGTTTCTTTTGGGTGTGTGTATAATGTGCATATAAACAGAGATGGATACATAATCGCCAAAGAGACTAATAGATATGTATGGGTGTTTCTGTATCAAAACTAAAGAGAATGAGTTGGTGTCAACCATCAATCTCACAAAACATTATCTACTTCATTAAATACCAACATGCTCAGACCTACACCATCCACTCAAACATCTACACCATCTGCTTAAACATTTATTGTGGAAATTATAATGTGAATGACGAGATTAACAACAATGATCACCAGCAACATCGCTGTAAACACATTGGTCACATGGACCTTGGAGGCAGAGGGCGGCGAGATTGACGAGTAGTAGGTTAACAACAATGATGGAAGAGACGAACAGATCTATGCACAATGCTGATACTATATGAAGGATAAAATTATCACTAATTATAACACATGCAGAAAAAGGTGTCCTTGAACTGTAAATAAATTTGAACTAAGGACTTCATTCATTAAAAACAGTCAAGTGTCTTTTTCCCATTAAAATTTTATATTGAGGGACTTTTGGCCAAATTTCCCATGTCTAAACGTCAGGTTTTATTCAAAATGAAGCACAGTTTTGGGCTTCTAGTTAGGGTTGTTTTAGAATTTTGATTGATTCAATATGGTTTATTCAATAGTAAAGGTTCTAACTACAACTTTGGCCAATGTAGATTGGGCTCAATTGAAAAACAATTTTTGTAGTTCCTCGAATTGAGCTTCTATTTTCAGAGAACTCTTTTTTTTTTTAGTTCACACCATTTTTTCCGTTTGAATGTCAACAACTGAAGTGAGTTTTTGTTCGGTAGTTGATATCTGAACGAAATAATGGTGTGAACTGGGAAGTTCTGTGGTGTGCAAATAGAAGCTCGCAGAATCAGACCAAGCCAATACCCCATACAAGTGTCCTCAGAAATTTGATTTTCTTTTTGCTTTAACAATATGCGTCTTCATTATATTCACCTTTCATGGTAATTATCCATTAGTTTTCTGTCTAATCTATTTATTTATTTTATTTTTTATCACTGTGCATGGCATATCAAAAGGCAAGGAATTCCTCTCAAAGTTGCTATTTTTCTAGTCTATCAACACCTCTTTGTTATAGGTTTTGAAAATTATCTCTAATTTTGATCTTAAAGTGTACAAATAGGATTCTTATGTGTCTTCATCAATTAACAGAGATTGTCTTTGTTAGAAGAAGCCCTATGCAAGGTAAATGCAAACGATCCAGCTGTTATTTCTGCAATTATTGATGAATTCTCTCAGCAACCTCATTTGAGAGAAAAGAGCTCCTATCATCAGTAAGCTTTTTGTTGTTTTAGTTCTTTTATCATTCATTTACTTTGTCTTTACCATTTAGTTTTGTTTTGTTTTGGGAGGGGGAGGGGGAGTTTTACTTATATTATTTCAGCTTTCATCAATCCTGTAACATTTTGTTAACCATATTATGACTTCACCAAGGTTACTGGAAATTTGTGACTTAAAATGTTGTTTTTGAAATAAATTTTTAAATTTTTTGTTACTGTTCATTCTCATTTTAGAAATAAGGGTACTATTGTTATTTCAGACTTTGTTTAATACAAATACATGGGTTTAGGGATGAGGAATGTAACTCTTACAAAAGACCTATTTCTGTGTTACACTCTCTCTTATCTCTTTCTGTAACTCATACAAAACACCTAGTTCTGTGTTACGGTCTCTCTTTTCTCTTTCTCTCTCTTCTTATTCCATTCTATCTCTTCTCCATTTAACTATTTTCTTGGTGAAATACTATTTTACAGTAAACTGATTGAGGCATACCCTATTTTTATTAAACCTGTGCTAAACATCTATTGCATGCCCAAAAGGTTAATATGTGATGGAGTTATAAATAGACACAACTTCACTTTTTTTAAGGACTTCATTATCACTCTTGGGAAGTAAACCCGCCAAACTTGGCCTCGCACTACTTGCTAGAGCTCATTTTCAGTGCTTTTGTGCCTACAGGTTGGATATCATTAATAAATGCTTCTCTCAAAGAACAATTGAAGAAATTATATCTGCACTTGTAAGTTGATGAGATGGGATAAGTTCCATGTGGAAACAGTGATTTGACATACTTTTCTTATTTCTTTATCTCTTATTTCTTATAGTTTTATTTTTCTTTTATGTGGATGGCATTACATGAGCCAAATCTTATGTTTTGTATTGCAGGAGAGGGCATCTGTAAACAGCACAGACAATTGGATCTCTTCAACAATTAAGTCACTGAAAATGGCATCCCCAACAAGTCTTAAAATTTCTCTCAGATCGGTATGGATCATGCCTTTATTAATCGTTGCCTTACTTTTTTGAAGCTAATCATGAGGCTGCTAGCTAAAATGTCTGACATCTAAGGATAGTTTCAGGATAATTGGTAACATGGTGCCTAATCTGAAATTAATTCATTTATTGAGAGGCTGAAGGGGAGCAAGTCTGACTGAACATGTCATAAGCTGTATTACATGGACTTTCTTGAGCTCTCTAAGGTACCCCATGTTGACATGACTATGGGCTTGTTTGGTGTAGGCTGTAGCTTCTTGCAAACTGAAAATTGATAATTACAAAGTAAAAACTAAAAGTATCTCTCCCCCAGCTTCTCAATAATCAACTTCCTTTCTTTTTTTTTGAAGTTATTTTTGCCTCGTAAATTGTATTCATACGCTATACCTAATACTCTGACACTGATCCCTAAAATAAATAAATAAAAGCTGTAAATTGCTCCATAAGCTTCACCAAACAGGGCCTATGTATTTGACTCTTACGCCACTTGAACACAAAATCTTCTAAATGTGATAGTGGAAGAACAAGTTACTCGTACTTGATAGCTGAGAGATTATTTTGCTTCTCACACATGTAGAGAAAAATCCTCTTACCCCCTAAAAGAAAGTTAGAAAAAAAAAAAAAAAAATCTGACACCAAAACATCTGTAGCATTTGCTGGATCAGAAATACATCACACATAAAGATGCTATTGGATAAGTTGATATGCTGTTAGATGTGTAGGACATACTGTTGGATAACTTGATACACCAGAGCTTTAGTTATGGGAGGTATTGAGTCAGTCTCTGTTTGCATTTGGTCCTCTGTTTGGTATTTTTGTTTGAACTCTGTTTGGTTGATTGTTTGTCTCTCACATGCAAAACAGGGTTGCACATGAGGGAGGGTGGTGGGTAGCTGATATAAAGTGTTAGGCCCATTTACTAATAGGTTAAGCTTATGAGATAGTTGGGGATTTAATCGTACCCATGTTCTTGTTCCTATACTTTTGGCATATATCTCCATACTTAAGCATCCAACACCTAGATGGTTGGGAATTTGGGGAGAACAACAACGAAGCAACAAAGCCCAAATCATTGGGAGAGAAATTGAGAAGTTTTCAAGCACAAAACCTAGGCCCAACACATGATGTTTGGAACTTATACCCACTTGAATGCTTAGGCCTATAGGTAGTGAGCTCATCCACTTAAGACCCTTGACTTTTTGCTTGTTTTCCGTTATATGACTTTTCTAGTTCTCGCATGTATAACAATCGGAACATAGACATACACTCCATAAAAATTTCTTGGTTTCAGGAAAGTGGTTTAGAGTGTTGGCTTTGTAGCTTTGATATTTTTTGTCACAAGGTAGGATGCTAATGAGTTGGGTTTGCAATGTTCGTTTAAGTTCATGCTTACCTGATATTTGCCTATTTAATAATAGGTCACATTAGCCACTCCTGAAATTTCGAGAAAATACAAAGCTCTTAGTTTTGACATAATTACACACCTCCCCTCTAGTAACAGAAGATTAAACGGAGCTAATGGATGATGTCAAATTACTTTTTTACCTCAAAATGTTTGTGTGAAATTACTTTTTCACACAAATGTGTGAAATTTGTGTGAAACTACTTTTTCCCCTTGTATATATTTTTTTCTCTTCCTTTCTTCTGTCTATTCCTCTGGCTCTCCCACCAAACCTTTTACCATCCTGCACCGTTGCCACTACTACACCCTTTTCACCCCCACCACTATAAAACACAACCACCGCCACCCTATCATTTCCCTCTCTACAGTACCCCCACCCCAATCTGTTGCAATCATTTCCCTCTCTACAGTACCCCCCACCCCAATCTGTTGCAACCTCTACCCCTCCCCCTCTTTTGTTTTTTTTTTTGATAAATAATCTACCCTTCCCCCTTTCACTTGTGCTACACACAACGCCACCCAGAGTGTATTCCCCTTTTCACGTGCCACCATAACAGAAATATTGCAACCCTCTCCCCATCTTTTCCTCTCCAAAACACCCTACCTACGCCTTGTTCTCCTTCCTTCTACAACCATGGCACTCCCATCCTTTTTTCTCCTCCCTCTACATGGCATTTCCATCATCTTGTGACCTCCTAGAGGCAATGTAGGATTATCAGACTCAAAATTGGTGTTGACATGAATACTTTGATGTTTTGTTCTTCACCTAGTGAAGCAATCTGAAGGCAATAACAAAGAATGTGATGAAAAATTGAGGGAACCAATTGAGATGGAGAGGGAATTCAAAGAAATGCTTTGACAACTTTGCCTCGGTTCCATATTGGAATTAGGGTTTTGACTGAAGCCCACAAAATACATAAGAGTGATAGAGGGAATGTTGTTGCATATAGCAGTTTTTGTCAACATTGCACAGAGCATCTCCATTGCCATCGAAAAGTAACGACACTATCCTTAACACATTTGACCTCTTTAACTTATTTAATTTGTTCATTCGTTAAGTATTTTAAGTGGATATTATGTTCTAAAGCCCCTCAGAGTTGCTCCTCCTTTCTCTTCCTAGCCATTCTTATATTTGTATTCAAAGAGTTGGTTGTGATATGTAGGATGTCATAACGTGTGTTCCTGTAAAAATACATGCATCTGTACTGCATGTGTAAGGTGGATTTATGTATGTATTGCACTCCCTAATAGCGCAGCTCTTGATTGGTTGAAGTCTAATTATCGAATTTGGAAGCCTTGGGGGAAGCCCATGGGCCCGAAGACATTTTGGTCCCATAAATGTAGTTAGTAGCTATTATTATTTAGTTAGATTTAATTACGCAAGGTTTTAAAAAACGGCTGCAACTGTTATGTAACGCCTTACGTAACGGTTGTGGTAGTTACCGCCACCTGTTACGGTCACTTTTGCAGTGTGATTGAGATTCACAGGTGTATCGGCCGTAGCGGCTGCTATAGCGGTCGTAACGGCCTGTTACGCACCGTTACGTAACGGTTCCGAATTGCTTCTTTCAAAAAAACACAAAAAAAAAAAAAGTTGAAAATGGGGGAAGAGAGATAGAGAGAGAAAAGGGAAGATGGAGGAACAAGAGATAGAGAGAGAGAATATGGAAGATGAAGAACATGTTATTGATTTGTTGAAGTTGTAAGACCTATGCTATTCTATTCAGCTGCTATCACTCAACCATTTTGTTTGTGTGTAATAATAATAATAATAATAAGTGTGGTCATTATTTATTTGGCTTGATTAATATATATATATTTAGGTTTTTATTTATTCTTACTTTTGTCATTGTTTATCTTATATATAATAGTTAGTGATTGATTTTTTGTATAATATAAAGTCATTAATTATTAAAATAAAATGTAAAAAACTCAGTTTATAGTGATTTAAAAATATAAAATATATTGGATCAAACTTAAAAATTTATAAAAATTGATTAATATTTATTTTAAAACCCAATAAATATGATCATGGAAAAAAAATGTGTATCGGTAAGTTTTTTTCAAATTGTGCGAAAAATAAAAAATTTCACGGTTCCGATTACCGCAACCGTTACGCTATGGTCTTTACGCCCCACAACCACAACCGCGCCACCGCCACCGCCACCGTTACGGCAACCGCAACTGCTTTTAAGAACCTTGAGCATGAGAGATTGATTTTGTTTCCCAATCCTAAATACATTAGGATTTTGGTCCCATGTATATTAGGGTTTTGACATTGTAAGGAGCAGTTTTGTACTATGAAGCATGGGTACTTCGACAAATATGCCGCACGCGTACTGAGTACTTACTAGCATATGGTACTTTGTATGGTACCTTTTGCATACGTACCAGGTACCCAAAACATGTACTCAAATTTTTTCTTTTTAATTTTTAGCATACCTTATAAATACCCAAGCCGTACCATACCTTAGTCGAAACAATATTTTCTTCTATTACAGAGATAAAATTCCCTTCTCTAGATTTCTTTTTTATTTTTAGTTTTATGCTTAGTATGATTTTAAAATTAAGTTATGGTTTATTAGTTATTTAATATAATGACATTTAGGGCTAGTTTGGCATGTACTAAATAAGCCAAAAAGTCAAAAAGTCACTATCTTATTTAAGTCACATCATCTTATTTAAACCACATCACCTCTCTAACACATCACATCAAACCCAACCCAAACCCAACCCAAACCCACCAATAAGTCAAAAAGTGCACTTTTTTAGGACATCCCAAACCAACCCTTAATTTTGGTTTATGGGGTTGTTTGGGATGATCTAAATAAGTATATTTTTTGATTTTTTATGAAATGATGTGCAGAAAAGCAGAGAGATGATGTGACCCAAAAAAGATTAAAAAAAAAAAAAAGAAGTGCATTTTTGTAGTGCACTCCAAACAGTTTCTTACTTTTGGCATTAAATATTAACTTGTAGGTTGGATCTTAACAGATTAAATCATTTAATCAATTTTTGCATTACTTCAAATTAAAAATAAATATTTTTTTACAAACACACCAAGCTCGCACTCTACTTTTTATTGGATTTTACTGTATCGACGTACCCATATCATACTAGTACCAGTACTCGTACATATACTCGTGCCCATGCTTCATAGGTTTTGTATAATATATTATTAGTAAAAAGGCTGTGGCCTTTTGTGACTCTCTCTCTCTCTCTTCTACTTCTTCATCAATCCCACTTCTTAATAAATTGTAGTCAAACTTTTTAATAATCTTATATAAATGCATTATTTTATTTTTGCTTTACTATAATATTTTTTTATAATAATCTTATGTAATAGTCACACGTTCGAGTCTCTCCCCACCCTTTCCCCTCCAATGTATAAAAAAAGAAAGAGAAAAAAAAGTAATAATCTAGACCGTTGTGAGGGGTGGTTCTACAATATTCTTTCGGTCCAAACAGTCTTTTACTTGATTCTCACATTGACACCTGAAACAAGAAGCACTCCGGTAAGGGGTGCCAGAATTAATATTCCGACGAGCAAGTTAGGTTATAAGGAGGGATGAGTATACTTTTTGAGAGA